GGGGGGGGGGGGGGGGGGGGGGGGGGGGGGGGGCACTGACCTAACTACTACGAGGGTGTAGGTGTCATCCCCCTCTGGCGTGGTCTCGGGCGAGGCCATCGACATGCCGCTCCTTGCCCCCCGAACCGAGCGCAATGTCGCCGCATTGTCGCCCAGGCGGACTGCCGCCGCCGCCGCCGCCGCCGACTGCACGCGCCCTCTAGCCACCACGGAGGGAGCTAAGAACCCTGCAATTGTCATTGTTGAGAGAAAAACGCAACAGTAGTCGTGGTCCCGGTTTAGTGGTTCCTTCCCTGTTCAGCGGGATGCCCTGAATAGAGGTTCCAAAATCTCGTGGCACGGCTGCACCTCGGTACAAGTCAATCCGGTTTAGCGGCGACGCCCTCAACATATGTAGCGGTTATAACATTTGTGACGTTATGGGCACCTACAAACCGGGACAACATCCGGGGGAAGAGGTGAACGATGCCCAGGGGGGGCAGGAAGACCACCGGAAAACCTTGTGACCCAATCGATGCCAAACGTTTGCCGAATGCATGCTGAGGTCTACCTGGTAGTTGTCAGTCGGGTGAAGTAGTGCTCCCGGTATAATGCCGTGCGATTCAGACGGTATCACCGGCATTATTGCGGGCTGTCGGCACCATCAGAGCATGAAACAACTTGAACATTCCGTCTGTGCCAGACGATTTCATCGGCATTGTACAGGGCAACCAGCATTTTTCGACCGGCGACATACGGGACCACTACTGCTGCTGTACGTCGTACAGCACGTTTTAGTCTCTCTCGGTTGGGCGATTTGCTGCTGCAATGATGACTCGATAATTTCAAGACAGAGCAAGGGTTGACGCGTCCGATTTCCACCGCTTTCGCGAAATCGGTACAGCGGTGCGTGTTAGAACAGTAGTGCTGTACCGACCCAGTGTATAGCCCCTCCGTCAATATTATTGCTTCGAAGACGGCGTGCTCGTGTCAGATGGCGAGACAACTGCTAGTCTCGCTCCACATCGAATCTCAGCTCCAAAAACTCTTCTCTACGTAGCTTGGTTATCGACGGTGCGTTGGTGACGAGGTGCCTACGTGTAGTGGTAGTTGGCTCATGTTGAAGTCCTGTCGACTGGCTGTTTGCGTTCCCCCGCCAACGCTCAAACCACGGAAAAGATCCGGATGATACGGTCATGTACATGGCGCATCAGAGCTTGATTCTGTTCGTGCTTGGGGCAGCAGCAGGAGCGGAATACTCACAGCCACCGCCCATCACCCCGCACCAAAGCTACATGCAGTCTCCCTCCCGGGCCTACGGATAGACCCGTTTCTCAGAAAGAGCAAGGCGTCACAACGAGAAAAAACGCTCCGCCGAAGATTGTTTCACCAACAGGCCCGAGAGCTACTGCAAGTAAAACTTGCGCTGAACTTTATTTAGCTTGTGCTGCTATGCTGCTATCGTTGGCGCCTCTGATTGGCGTGCGAATTGGATACAGCACCCACGCGCAACCACGGGACAGAATATTGGCCCAAGCAGATGGTGGCGAAATTTTGTCACCAAGCATATTCTCCAAGGCACAGAACACTAAATACGTATTACACACTCGGGGAGAGAAAATGCGGGGGATAAAAAAGAGGCAGCATGTTGTTGCTGCGTACAGCCATCGTCAAACATCAACTTCGGTCGGTCCTCTTCTTCACCCACCCCCGGAAAATGAGGCACCAGCAGACGGATCTACCGTAGATGTCTGTTCTGCTCGGCGGATACGTTCCGCGAGGAGCTGGCTTCTCTCTCTCACCTACGGCGCCCCTCGCCTGGAGGACAAGACATGCGAGCACCGCTCCACCCTGCGTTGTATATCACGAAGGGAGTCGGCACAAGCGGGCAACGACGTGTCGCACTTCAGCGGTCATGATCTTGCGCCCCCCCAGAAGAAGCTTTTCAAAACATGATAGCAAAACGTGACTGGCGCATTTTCGCCCGGAATCCACTTGAAGAGCGAAGAGCATGCCACGCAATGGTCGGGCGCGTGTGCGATGCTTCAACATCTCGATTGCATCCTTAGCTTGCTACAACAGGGGGTGTCGCCCTGCGTACTGCCCCGTAGCCAACCGCCAAGCCGTTGTGTCCGCCAGCCGAAGCAGCAGAGGACCACACACCTTTTTGCCTCTTGCTTTCGCAACAGCGGCAACCTCACCTTCATAGTCTTGATTGCGGTAGAGACAATACCGCGCGCAGAAGGCAAATGGTGTGTGCGAGGGAGAGCTGGTGGAGGTTGTGGCACGCGCAAGCAAGGACCTACAGGATCACTGTCAACATAACCAGGGGGCGCCAGCGGGGGCATGGGGGGCGCCATGATACCGCGGAGCTCCAGCTCCGCGGTGTTGCCTGACATTAGGTCATTGTTGCGTCATCGTCGCGTTATCGTGTAGCAGCAGAGCCACTCGCTCACCCCTCTTGCAATCACTAGTGCCACGCTTAGGAGTTTGGAGGATAGAGGTCTTTCGTGATCGCACGCTCTGATTTTTCTAGAAAGAGGGACCGGCTGCCCGATTTCGTCGACGTTCTCACCCGGCAACAGCACTTCGTAGCAGGGCTGCAGCTGGTGGAAGCTCTGAGATCGGCGCGAGACATCAACACACTAAACCATGGGCAAGAAGAAGGTTCTCCTGATGGGCAAGTCCCGATCAGGCAAGACCTCGATGCGCTCCATCATCTTCGCAAACTACGGCGCCAAGGATACCATCCGCCTCGGGCCTACGCTTGACGTGGAGCACTCGCATGTCAGGTGCGAAGAATACGTACCGAAGCCGCAGCAGCCGCAGAGGCAACACCACCTCTATGTTGCAGCAGCCGAAGCAGCGGCAATAACTGCCAGCAGCATTATAGTTGTATTTCCGACTTAGTTGCAAGTTCAACCTTTGGCCACGTTCATGTTGTAGCGGGAATACACGTGACTCGCATCCACTGCTCATGTACACCGGGTAGAAAGTGGTTTGTACAGCAGTAGTCTACTGCTGTTGGTGAGTCGGTGTCCTGCCGACTCAAGGTGCCTCCATCACTGTCACTTGCTCCGATTGTAACTACAGCTGCTGTGCAGCGATTCTCTGCACCGTATGCATATGCTCCAAATGGGTATCACCACATGCGGGGGTAGCTGTGCTTGTGTCCCCTTTGGGCAGGCGCGTGTGGTAATGCTATTTGTTCACCTCAGCAATGCACAGCAGCACGAGGTGGTTGACACTGCTGTAGGTGGTTTGCTTCATGTACTGGTATACAAAACGGCAGCTTTGCTGCGGTACGATAACGACCCTCTCTGATTCTCCTTTCGGTCCCTCCTTAACCCTTAACCAGCCGGGCCGTTCACACCACCCGCTACTGTCAGCACCGTAAGGCACGTGCAGTGCATGCAAAGCATGCTCACAACTCACCAGCAGCTTATTGTGTTCAGCATATTATGATCCGGACGAAATGACTGTGGTTCGGATGAGACATGATCCGATGGTGCCATCCACGACGATTTGACACGGGTGATAGCAGTACCGGTTACCTCGGTGGTGTAGCGGTTCACCTCGGAAATCTACTACTGCTGCCGTAGCAGGTTGGGATTCGGTTCTATCTCTGGAGCGAAAAAAGAGAAACAGTTTGTAAGACGGGAGGAAAAGTGATATGCCATCACAGCAACAGCAGTACGGCGCAGGAAGATTTTTTGCGGAAGAATATGACGCGCTGGAGCTCGTCGATTCAGTCGGAGAGGTGAAACCCTAGCATCACGCCTACATCAGTAAATAGCGTGACGACATCAACAAAAGCAAACAGCAGCAGCAGATTCCCACGTAGCGAGGACGACCAGTATGTAGTCACGCAGTCATTGGGAGTGTGGACCATTTGTTCGAAGAATGATTCAAGTCTTTGAGAACCGAGACGAGGAAAGTAGGTGGGGGTCGAAATGGGCACGCCTTGAGCAAGTTTAACAGCGGCCGCGAGAAAAACGATCGCTACGCTAGACGACCGGGTTGTACGCCAACAGGGAGGGAAGGAACGATGTCAAAGAATTTCCAAGTACAGAAAATGTGGCGAAGAGTCTGGAGGTCCCGACGTTTTGTGCCTACAGTACAAGTAGTACGCCTTATGCGGAGGGTTGTGGCTCCGTCTCGAGAGGGACGTGCTGTCGAGAGTTAAAATACGATGGCAAGCGACGTATGAGTACGTGCGCCCCCTCCCTCAGTACTAAACGGAAACAAACCGCTTTTGTCGGTTCTACATATTGTGGTGGGTGCGCGTGCTTCGAACACCCAGGTTTTTGGGGGACATGGTGCTGAACCTTTGGGACTGCGGGGGGCAGGACTCGTTCTACGAGACGTACTTCAACTACCAGCAGGAATTCATCTTCCGCTCTGTGGAGGTGAGGCCTGTGTGGCAGGCGACACACGTCCATGTTACTGTAGGCAACCTGTCGACTTGTTCATATGACTTGGTGCTAGTTGGTACATTCGTAAATATGGCTGATTGCCGTCATGTCAATTCACCTGTCAACCTTTCGAAACGTGTGCAGCCTGCTGCTGGTAGGTACATAGTGGTGGCTGGGCACTAGTTCACTGCTCGTGCTGCAGGTCGGAGGGTCTTGGAGAATAAAGCAAAGCGCACATTTTTCCTCTTTGCTGACGACGATCGGAAATTTCCCAACGGCTCGTGACTAGCGCTGAGAACAGGCAGGAGGTCGGCCCATCAGCTATTGTTTGATCAAGCCGCGTTTCCTGGGTGCACGCGACTAGACTCCTCGTGCCTACATGTATCGCCAAGAGCGTTATTCTCTGCACCCCCGGCNGAACTCGAGGCGGCGCAAATGAAAGCAGCGAAAACCATCCTAGGATGCTCCAAGCGCACAAGTGATGCAGCCATCAGGGCAGAATGGGGGATCCAATCCCTACGGTCGGGACGAGACGCGAGGAAGCTGACATGGCAGTATCGCATGTTCGGGATGGGAGAAGAGAGGTTGCCGAGAATTGTATGAGAGGCGAAGTGGGCAAACAAAAAGAGGGGCAGACAAGCCACGGAATGGGTCAAGGTTGTAGAGGACGTATGGAAGGGACTCGACATCGACGAAGATGAAACGCCGGAAACGGAGGGTCTACAGGGGTTCGAGGAGGAGATATCTGTTGCTTGTGCCGAGAGAGAACAGAATTTGAGGAAAGAAACCAAGGATAAGGAGGGTCTAGAAGTGTACGGAATGTTGAAGGAAGGAATAGGGTTCAAGGACTACCTACTTGGACCAATGGATGCAGGAACAAAGCGTAGGGTCAAATTCAGGACCGGGGACATAGGCCTTCGAGAACGTCGACGAAGACATAGGACGGTAGACGAGGAAGACGACGAGTTCAAATGTGATTGCGGCTTCGAATGCGAAGACCGT